GCCAAGGCACAGGTCGTCAAGCAGATGCAGGACAATGCCAAGCAGTTCCAGGGCCACCTGCGAGAGCACCTGGCGAAAGCCAAAGCTGCCGCGATCGAGAAGCGGCAGGTTATCAAGCAGGAGGCCAAGAAGAGGAAGCTCGCCACAGGTGAACCTGCAGCAGCGCCAGGCCCGAGGCCCCCAGAGGCAGCGCCCCCAGCGGCTGCGGCGGCGGCACCAGATGCCACAGGCCCCGCCCAGGGCGCAGCCGAGGAGGCTTTCCTGGCCAGCAGGCGTGCGGCGGCGGCGCAGAGTGCGACGGGGGCCACAAGCCCCGCGACGCACTAGGGGCGCGCGCGAGGGCGGCGGCGGCATCACGTTGGCGACGCCGCAGCCCACGAGCGCACCCTCTTCTGCGCCAACATCTCGACCTGGGGACCCACAGCACGGCTGTGGCTGCTGCAGCAGGGCATCGGAGGCAACGGCTTCGACATGCTGGCGCTGCAAGAAATGCACGTACTGCACTCTCAGTTAGACGACGCGGAGCAGGACCTTTGCAAAATGGGGTTCAGGGCTACCTGCACCGCGGCGAGAGCTAGTACACGATCGGAGAAAGGCAGCTGTGGGGGCACGGCAGTCATCTCCAAGGGGCACTTGCGCGTCACCAGCTTCAGACACTTGGCCAGAGCTCGGCAGGTTTCGAATGCCACGGCTGACACTCGACGAGGCGCCGACCGAGCAGGAGGCTTCGACATGTGCGACTGGACACCAGTCACCTGGCACCTGAAGGGCACCACGCTCACCGTCGTCAGCCTCTACCTGGACTGCAACAGGTCGCTGACCGACGGCATCAACAGCCGCAAGCTCACCGCGCTGGCCGCGTTCCTCAAGACGCTGCAAGGGGCGTGGGTGGTGTGCGGCGACTTCAACACAGACCCGAAGACGTTCTGGGCGACGGGCTGGCCAAAGGCGATGGGCGCGAGCGCCATCATCTCATTGCCTGAGGACCAGCACACCTGCTTCCTCGCGGAGCAGGAGCCCTCCCACATCGACTTCGCGATGACGAACGACGCAGGCAGCAAGCTGATCACAGGAGTCGAAGGCGTCTACGACGTACCATGGAAGCCACATATCGGACTGAAGTTCACAATTCGTGGACAGGGACTTGCGACGCAGTGTAGGACGATCAACCTGCCGAAGGCGTTCCCGCACCCACCGCGGAAGGGCAAGGCGCCCAACCCGCAGAGCAAGAAAACTAAGAGACGCCTGCAGGCCAAGGCCAAAGAGGAGGCCGAGGCCACCGCTGCTGGATCCCAGACCATGGCGATCGGCGGCAAGAACGTGGAGGAGCTGGACGACGAGCGCTGGGAGGCACTCTCCCCAGTCGCAGGCTGGGCCAGCTTCCCGAACACCGTGCGCGACGAGGTCGGCCAGGGCACGGCGCCCAGGCCCCCGTCTCCACCTCGCCCCCCCTGCTCCGTCGGCCCAGTCCCTCTGGGCGGGCACGGGGGACCAGGCAGAGACGGCGCAGAGGCCCACGTGCAAGAGGAGTACAGGCACCACATGGACGACGATGAGGTCGACGTGTTCGCCGACCTGGACCCCGAGGACGAGGCCGAGGCAATCAGGATGTGCGGCGAGTTCGGCCAGGACCTGGAGCCGAGCTGCATGCCGCCAGTGAGTCAGAACGCGTCAAATCCCACGACGGTGCTCCTCGAGCCGTACGTGGGTTCACCGTCGCCTGTAAGTTTTGCAATTCCTGGCGCAAGCATCTTCGACCCCACCCGGCGTCAGATCGCAAGTCCCACATCGGCGCTCCTCGAACCGATGGTGGGCACTGGCAGTCAGAACGCACGCCACAGCTTCGACACCGTCGGGCGTCAGAATGCAAGACCCCCCTCGGTGCTCCTCGAGCCGACGGGGGGCTCAGCGTCGCCACAGAGCCACACCAACATAGACGGGAGTCAGAGCGCAAATCCCACCACGGCACCGCCGTCGGTGGGTTCAACGTCGCCACGGCTCGAAACTAGAGGAGAAGACACGACCGAGATGGGAGAGCTCTGGGAAATGATGGAGCTGGCTGCAGAGGCACCCGTGGAGAAAGAGGCCCCAGAGTACATCACCAAGTGCGCCGCGTACCAAGCGACCACGCAAGCCTCCAGGGACCTCAGCCTGAGCTTCTCCTCCATCATGAACACGATGGAGCACTTCTACTGCATGGCTTACCGCATCGACCCCCTTGACCGTGCGAAGTACTGCGGCAGAGGCGACCCGAGAACATTCACCATGCGCAAAGGCAAAGAGAAGCACGAGAGGAGAGAGCGGTATGCAAACCGCAGAGCTGACTGGTGGAGCAGAGCCGAGAACACCCTGTCCTTGCTGGCGAGGCTGCGCAAGAAGAACAGGGACGTGAGGCAGCAGCTGCACCTAGAGGCCACAGGCAGACACCTCGCCTACGACGGCCTCCCGAACACCAGCGACCAGGCATCGGACACGGCGAAGCTACACCGAGAGATCTGGAGAGAGAGGCTGACAGACTTAAGCAAGGTCGACACGGACGTAATCCTTGGCATGGCGCAGCAGGCAGAGCAGGAGAAGCGGCTCGCACTCAAGAGGGACCTCCAAGAGAATTCGCGGGCCTTCGCACAGTGGCTGGCGCAGGCCGAGAAGGACGTCGGCGTGCTGCACCGCATCACGAAGACGCCGCCCAGGCGAGAGGAGGAGGTTGTTACTCATGAAGGGGTACTGGACTGCCCCACCAAGATAGTCGACGAGAAAGCGAAGGCGTTCCAGGACATCTGGAAGTGCGACCGACTCAAGCACGAGCAGCACACCGAAGTTCTACAGCAACTACGGGAGCGCGCACGTGCAGAGGAGGCCCCAGAATGGACGCTCGAGGACCTAGACGAGGCCCTCAGAGGAGAGCCCGACAAGGGCAAGGACATTGACATGCTGGTGTGCTCCGACATCCGCAGGCTGCCGCCCGAAGGCCGCCAGAGGATCGTCGAGTTCTTCAACTCATGCGAGCAGGCGCTCGCATGGCCGTGGCAGCTGCTGTGCGAGATCGTGATGCTCACGCCCAAGCCAGCCAAGGGCGATAGGGCCCTCGCCCTGCTGCCGCAGATGGTGCGCTGCTGGGAGTTGCTCCACAGGCCCGCGGTGAGGCGCTGGGCCAAGCAGCAAGAGAGAGAGTGGGACGCCGCCGTGGCGGGCAACAGCTGCCTGCGCGAGGCGATGAGGAGAGTCATCAGCGACGAGTGCTGCGACGCGCTCCAGCTGTTCCACGGCAACCTGCTCGCGGACATCGAGAAGTTCTACGACAGCCTTCAGCTCGACTGCGTGATCGAGGCGGGCCTGAGGATGGACTTCCGCCCCCGCCTGCTGACGATGATGCTGCTGCAGCACTCAGCCACGAGGGTGCTGCGGTGGAAAGGTGCCTTCTCGACACCTACCTGGGCTGACAGGTCGCTGCTGGCAGGCTCGAGGCACTCCAACAACCTGGCCAAGACGGTGGTCTACTCCGTCATTGGCAGGATGCTGGAGAACTCACAGGCGCTGCCCAAGCCGCTGCCGAGGGCCTGGTTCGACGACATCAGCATCCGCATCCTGGGCAGCGCAGAGGCAGTCGAGCAGGAACTGACGGCGGTCACGGTGGGGCTACGCGACGGTCTACGTGCACAGGGACTCTCGCTCGCGGACAAGACCGTCATCTTCAGCACCAACTACCGCACCACCAAGAGGGTACAGCAGGCGCTGCACAAGGTGGACCTACCCGTCCAGGCCGTCACTGAGGGCCGCGACCTGGGAATTGACAGAGGCGCAAGAGGCACGCTGAAAAGGGACACCCACAGAAAGAGGACGAAGCAAGCCTTCACGCGCTGCGGCCATGTGGGCAAGAAGCTCAAGAGGCTCAGGCTGCGGCGGAGGAGAGGCATCCTGCACCAAGGAGCGGTGGCCTCCTACATGTACGGCGCGACGGTGCACGGCATGGCACCCTGGGCGCGGCAGAAGGCGAGGAGGAGGTATGCACAGGCTCTGAGGAGGCCGTGGCCAGGCCGCTGCCTCACCACGTTCCTGGCGCTGGAGGGAGCCGACCCCGCGACCACTGCGGTGAAGGCGCAGCTGAAGACGTGGTTCGAGGTCTGGGCCCGCAGCCCCGACATCAGAGCGCAGGTCAAGCTTGCCTGGCCGAAGATCTACTTCCAGCTCCGCAAGATCAGGGCTGAGAAGAGGTGGCAGGCGCGCAAGGGGCCGCTGGCCAGCCTGATTCTCCTGCTGTGGGAGGTAGGCTGGGACTCCAGAGGACCAGACGTCTGGATTGACAGGCAAGGGGACTACTGGAGGTTCAACACCGATGAGCAGGGCGGCGACTACACAGAGATCGTGGACGCGCTCCTGCAGGATATCCAGGACCAGCTGTGGGAGACGGCATCACAGCACCACAACGGCGGAGGGCTTCATTTCGGTGCGGACGTGACAGACCTTAAGAAGCACCTCAACCAGCTCGCTAAGAAGGAGCACCACGGCACGTACGGCGCGCTCCTCACGGCAGCGTGTGCAGGCACCTGGACGAGGCGGCGCAAGCACGAGACCTTCGGCGGCGAGGAGGACATGTGCGAGTGCGGCAGACCAGAGGATGATGCACACAGGATCTGGGGCCACTGTGCGGCCCGAGCTGACTGCGAGGCCATCCGCAAGACAGAGGGCCTGGCACGCAGGGCCATCGAGGGAGCCAAGGAGAACCCCGCCTTCTGGCTCAGAGGCATCACGCCCAAGAAGTGGACCACGCCGCCCAAGTGCGACACCCAACACGTCGAGCACACCGTGGGCGCCTGCATCACCAACATCAGGCTCTCCGCCAGCGACGGCGGCGAAATCACGGGCTGCGGCGACGGCTCAGGAGGCGAGTACAGCGCAGACGAGAGATACTGCCGCTGCGGCTGGGGCTGGGTACTGCTGAAGGAGGGCGACGACACCGTCGAGATCGCGGGCGCCAGATTCGGCCCACTGCCAGGACCGAGGCAAACCAACAACAGGGCGGAGCTCTTCAGCCTGATCAGCTTCGTCAACGCCACGGAGGGTAAGGCCAGCTTCTGGACCGACAGCGAGGTCACCTGCCTGGGCTGGGCGGCGCGACGTGAGGAGACCACAGGGCTCGGCTGCACGAACGGGGACTTGTGGCACCAGCTGGGCGAGGCGATCCGTGCGCGAGGAGGCGACCGCAACGACATCAGCGTGCACCACCTCAACAGCCACATGACTGAGCAGGAGGCCATCGCGAAGGGCATCACGAGGCGCATCTGGGCAGGCAACCAGGCCGCCGACCAGTACGCAGACGCAGGCGCCAAGACCCACGCGATCAGCGACACCGAGATGAGCTGCTACGAGTGGGTGAGAGCGACGGCGCACCTGGTGAGGCTCAGGATCGCTGCAACCACCAAGGACGTCATCACCAGAAGGCCGCCAGACGAGAAGGAGATGAGGGAGGCCCGCCGCGCTCAGGCTAAGAAGCGACGGCAGGACACCGTGCGCAAGAAGGACCTGCTGGGGGACAACCACTCGCGGCGGCCACTCACACAACATGTCCTGGCACGAGATCGTCGAGGCACAGGATGGACGTGCATAACCTGCTGGCAGTCAGTCTCCAGTACGACGACGGCGCAGAACATCCACAGCTGGCTGACGCAGGAGTGCAGTGGCCCACCGCCCGAGACGGCGATCACGGTCACCAAGTTCGGCATCGAGTCGCACCCCACGCACATGCTGAGGCGGCTGAGGAGGCACAACAGGTGGTTCTGCGAGAAGTGCGGAGGCGCCACCACCGAGCTGATCGCCAAGAAGCTGCAGGAGCCTTGCTGCGGTCACACGGCATGCGAAAGCGGACACTACAGACTACAGGGGTGGCTGAGACAAGCGGCGCGAGAGCAGGGCACCTGCGACAGGCATCGCGCACTGAGCGACCCTGAGGACGAGGAGTACGAGGAGCAGCTTACAGAGGTAAGCAGTAGCCAGAGCACGGAGGTCGACACGGCAGGGGGCACAAGTGGTGTTTCCTGGCGAAATAAACGGGAAGAGCCACCCTGCCGCTTGCGGGAGAAGTGCCGAGGCTACACTGCGGGCGCGCTGGAGGCGACCAGGAGAGCTACGACGCCTGCGGAGCCCAGCAGCCCGCCCGCCCCTCCTGCTGCAGGAGCAGACCGAGGGCGTGCGGCGCGGGACAGGACTCGTCGGGCCGCGTCGGCCAGACCGAGAGCGCGCTGCGAGGCAGCGAGCGCGCGGCCCGACGGCGGAGACAGAGGAGAGCAGAGGACACGGAGATCAGAGAGCGAGAGGCGAAGAGCCGAGGAGCCGATCGTGAGACGCCTGCTGGACGCGACCGCCACGCCAGCACCGACGCCGCCACCGACGACAGCACCACCAGCAGCAGCAGACCAACGTGACGAAGCTGAGGCCGCACGCCGTGCCGCCTCGCGAGCGCTGCTGGAGGAGGAGAGGCGGCGAGCGGCGCGCCCGCCGCCAGAGGCGAGGGGGGCCCGCGCGGCGAGCGCCGCCCCGCCGCTGCCGCTGGGCGCGCTGCGCCGGCTGCTGGACGAGGGCGAGCGGCCCGCGGGGCGGGTGAGGACCACGCGAGGCGGAGCTGGTGGCAGAAGATGTGGTCTCCCCGCCCCGCGGCGAGAGGGCTGGGCTGCGGAGCCGCCCGCGGGCCCCTCGGCTGCTCGGCACGTCCCCTGATGCCGAGGACCGAGGCGGCCTGAGAGGCGCCGAGAGCGGCGCCCCCGCGCGCGCGCGCCGACTGCGCCGCGCGGGTTGCCACGACGTGGCGGCTCGAAAGAGCTCGGAAAGAGCCCCTCCTCCTCCTCCTCCTCCTCCTCCTCCTCCTCCTCCTCCTCCTCCTCCTCCTCCTCCCCGGGGAAAAGGTCTGGACCTCCTGGGTCCACGCGCCCCAAAAAAATTGGAGCAGCCGGATGCCTGGGGCGGCCCCGCCCCCTCTGCTGCACTTCCCCCCGGGCTCGCCGGAGGCTTCTGCCGCTATAGTCCTTCCTCGATGCTGGGCGACTTCGAGCGGGGGGTCCAGCTCGCCCGGCCTCCGGAGCTTTCGATGCCCCCCCCCCCCGCCGGGGGCACGTGCCGCCTGAAGCGCCCGCCCCGCCGGCCCCCCCCCCCCAACGGCTGACCCCACGGTCGTTCAGGGCTTCACGACTCCTCAGATCCCTCGACTCGCGCCGGAGCGTCCCCCGATCTGCTCTTGGTTTTCATGGAGGTCTCTGGGCTTACACAGATTCATCTGGAGAGGCGTAAACTTATTATCCAAGCACGGCTTGCGCTGTCCCCGCTCCCGTCCGTCGCGGCCGCCCCGCTGCACCCCATCCCCCGCTGCACCCCATCCCCGCTCGCATCGTAATACTTGCATTGGGTTGCTTTCCGTTGCTTTTCAATGATTTGCGTTGCGTTGCATTGCGTCGCGCTGCGTGTTGCATTGCGGCGCATTGCGTTGCAGAGCTTCGCGTGTTGCTTTGCATTGCTTTGCAGCACATGGATTGCAACACGTGGGTTCTCCTTTCTTAAAAAAAATGCACTCTACCCCCCCCCCGGAGTTAACGGTACACCTTTTCGTATTGCAATTTGCATCGTATTCTGCACACTCGTCCATCCGAAATATGAGCTCATACTTTACCAGCCAGGCTGGTATCACTCCCCCCCGCCATTCTCTGCAAACAATGATCTGCGCGCGCTCTCGTTTATCAGAGATTATGAGTTTTCTCAAAAACCCCTTGCAAAAAAAGAGAGAGACGAAGTGCACATGCGCGCGTCGTCGCGCGCATGCCGAAATCATTCAAGAACCTTCGGTTTCGGAAGGATTTCAAAATCGAGTTTCCAAAAAACAAACAAAAACATTGTTTCGCAACACTGATTTCCAAACAAAAGCTTACGCGCACGCTCTTGCGAAATCTTAAGGAAGCCAAGGTTTTCAAGATTTTCAAAATATGCTACCCAACGTGCTTCGCGAGCGCATGTCGAAATCATTCGAACGCCCTTGCGCGCGTGCCGTCGCGAATCCTCTGCAACAAAAAAAGAAGAACAGACGCACGCGTCGTCGCGCGCGCATGCCAGAATCCTTCACAAACCTTCGGTTACGGAAGGAATTCAAAATCGTGCCCAAAAAACATTATAAAAAAGGCTTCGCAACACGGGTTTTCAACAAAAGCGTGCGCGCGCGCTCTCGCGTCGTCGTCGTCGTCGCCGTCCTCTCTCCTCCCTCGTCGTCGTCGTCGTCGTCGCCGTCGTCGTCCTCTGTCTTTCCTCGTCGTCGTCGTCGTTGTCTTGGCGTCGTCGTCGTTTCTGTCGTCGTTGTCGCCGTGGTCGTCCTTCCTCCCTCGTCGTCTTCGTCGGCATTTCGTCGTTGTCCCTCCTATTTCGTCGCCGTCGTCGTCGTCGTCGTTATCGTCGTCTTCCCTCCTCCCTCGTCGTCGTCGTCGTCGTCATCGGCGTCGTCGTCCTCCCTCCTCCCTCGTCGTCGTCGTCTTCGTTGGCATCGTCGTCGGCGTCGTCTTCGTCGTCATCGTCGTCGTCGTCGTCGGCGTAGTCGTCGTCGTCGTCGGCGGCGGCGGCGGCGGCGGCGTCGTCGTCGTCGTCGGCGTTGTCATCGTCGTCGTCGTCAGCGTCGGCGTCGTCGTCGGTGTCGTCGGTGTCGTCGTCGTCGTTGTCGTCGTCGAAGTCGCAGTCGCTGTCGGCGGCGTCATCGTCGTCGTCGCTGTCGCTGTCGTCGTCGTTGTCGTTGCCAAGTGCCATTTGGTACCCACCGTCATGGTCCTAAGAGGTCTTGCGACCAAGTTGGGGGTGGAAGGGTGGGATGTTTGCACGAGCAGTGGAGAGGACAGCTTCAAGTTGAGCAAGTGTTTGATCGCACCACCTAGATCGCACCACATTGATTGGGCCGCCCAGATGCACCGCATAGATGACAAGAGCTCATTGTTTGGGGTCCACGCTGGCTAATGTTTGGATCTGCCTGGACGTGCCTGGCTGCATCCCCGCAGGCATGGGATAGTCGATCGGTGCCTGGGAGCGCCCGCCAAGTTCCCGAAACGGGGGGCATGGCGACCTCATCCCCCCGACCACCTGGGGCTTCGAGTGGGCAGACGAGTTGGAGCCAGACTCGGGGGCATACGACGAGGGTGGGTGAGCGGCTCAGCGCGCATTCTTGATAGGGGTTTCGTCCGCATAGCCTCCATTTGGGGGTCTATCCCCGAACCTTCGCGTTTATTCAACAGCAGCTGTTGGCGGGTGGGGGCGAGAAGATTGCCTGCGACCCCAGGCGCCAGATCCCCAGTGCAATCAAGCAAGCTTTGGAAGGGACAGGCACGATCGCGCCAGCGGCTGATCCGCCCCCGAGAATGATATATGATAGATGCGTTGTACATTAAAAACAGGCTGGCACCCTATAAACACGTGCCCCCCCACCTCTTGAACAGGGACGGACCGTCCCGGCTTTTCTATAGGCCTACCACGACATGTTCTTAGAACCCCCAAATGTTCGAAGAACAAAAACAATGTTCTTAGAACACAGACCAGATTGATCCAAACAAGACAGTCTCAGCCAGAAATGGTCTAAGAATGTCGTGCAAACCTGAAAAGGTTCTCAAGTCGATCCTTCTTTGCTGCGCCTAGAGGCAAGCCGGGACGCTCCGCCACTGCTTGAACCTCGGCCCTCACCGAAGGGGCCCTCAAATTGCCCCGAGGCCCTCCGCCGAAGACGCCTCGGGCTGCTCCTGCGCCTGGAGCTGAGGGGCCCTCCCAGGGGGCAGGATCGACCACGTCGCCTCGGACAAACGGCGCGGCTCCATCTGTGCGCCGGCGGGAGCGGGCGCGGGCGCGGCAGCCGCCTCCCAGGGTGCTGTGCCGCCCCCCGCCCCAGGAACCTGGGCCGAGGTCTGGCGTCCGGCGGGCACGGGTGGCCCCAGCCGACTCCTCGCCCGGGGGCTCGGGGGACCAGTCCAAGTGCCCCGAGGGGCTCGGTCACCACCACCACCACCCGGCCCGGAGAGCACCCCTCGGGGAGGAGCAGGAGGAGGCGGAGACCCTGTGGGCATCGACCCATGCTTCTCTGGTATAGCAGGTCTCGCAAGCCCACGCGCATGCTTGCCGTCCACTGCACTGCGTTGTGCGGGCTCGTTGGCTGCAGACCGAGGACGAGGGAGGTGCGAGGGTTGTGCGCACCTCTCGCTTAGATGTTCGGGAGAGCAGAGACAATCACCTCCGCCAGAGCCAAGGTCTACCCAGAGCCCCTTTGTCGGCTTCTCGCTTCTGCTGTGCTGTCCGATGTCCACCCTTCCTTCCCGCTTTACCATGGCAGTGATTTCGATTGGACCATTTCATGAATGGGCTGCGGATTTCTTCATACCGCTTGACGCGTACAATAAATTCCGTATGGCCAAGGACTGCACGGCTCGCGAGAATTTGACGACTTCCCAGAGGGGGCACCATCTTGAGGGCCGCGGAGTTGGTTGCGGGTGCGAGTTGTGGCTCTCTCTCCTCTCCTGTGCATGATGTTCCATCGTGGTGATCTTACTTATTTTGATTCACTGCCCCCTACATGTACAGGCTACCAACCTTATATATATATATATATATATATATATATATATATTTACACACATATGACTGACTGGCTGACTGAGGAGGAGGAGAAGCAGGAGGGAGGGAAGAGAGGAGAAGGATGGGGAGGAGGACGAGGAGGACGAGGAGGAGGCGGAGGAGGAGGCGGAGGAGGGAGGAGAGAGGAGGAGGAGAGAGCCGAGGAGGAGGAGGGCGAGGAGGATGAGGAGGGGAGAGGAGGAGAGAACGGAGAACCATCATAAGAACCTGTCTGCTGAGTGGCGACGGGAACGTCGCCCGCAGCCAGGCCGCGGCGGCGGCGGCGTTGCCAACGCGCGGCGGCGGCGGAGCGCGTCTCACCGCCGGCCTGCCGCTGGGCAGCAGCGCGCGCGACTGGACCAGCACCGGACTCGCCTTCGCTCTCGCTCTCGCTCTCGCGCCGTCCTCCTTGTCTTCCTCGTCCTGCCTCCTCCTCCTCCTCCTCCTGCCTCCTTCTCCGCCTTCTCTTCCTCCTCCTCCCTTTCCTTCTCCTCCTCCCTGTCCTGGTCCTCGTCATCCTCGTTCTCGTTCTCTGCTGCTCCTTCTCCCCGTCCTCCCTCATTCTCCTCCATTCCTTTTTCCTTATCAATGACTCCACGTGGTCGCACCCGGAGGTGTGTCGGGCGGGAAGGGGGCCGAGCGTTTCGCATGAGACCCCCTCACCACTGATGGCCCATACTCCTCTGAACACGTGTCAGCGTTTCACGAATGGAAAATGGGCCGATTTCAAAATGTGGCTCTCGCCTTAGCGCCACGCGCATTCGTTTAGCAAAAATGCAAACGTTTCAAGGATGGAGGGAGATTCCTTTTCAAAAGGTGGCTCTTGCCTTAGCGCCGCGCACATTCGTTTAAAGCATTTGCAGAAGTTTCACGGATGGAGGGCGATTCCTTTTCAAAGGTGGCTCTCGCCTTAGCGCCGCGCACATTCGTTTAAGAGTTTGCAGCAATTTCCAGGATTATCATGGTTACCGTCAAAACGCTATTGTAACTGTGATTCGCGGCGTCGGAGTGCTGTTTGTTATGGCACAGCTCAGGTTTTGCAAACGATTGTTTTTCAACGGAGAACTTCCCACAGTGAAATGCATTTATTGTAGGAGCTAATTAGGAGGGAACTTCGAGGAAGGTTATGCTGCAAGATCGTTGTCGAGTCTTGGGTTTACACTGGTCCTCCTCCTCCTCCTCCTCCTCCTGCTCCGCGTCATCCTTCCCCCAGCTCCAACCCCTATTCCTCCGTTTCGTACTCATGCTACTCACATACTCCTCCGCATTCTCTTTCGCCTTCTCATCGCCACCACCGAGCATCACCCTCAGCCATGCGCCAGCTTCTGAAGGGGGACTGAACTCCGCCAGTTCGTGGCCTCTGTGGGGGCTGCGCTGCGGTAAGAGTGGCAGATGCCCCGTGGCCCCTGGACTGCAGCCCCTGGGCTGGTCCCTGTGGCGGTGCACTCCGGTCCCCTGGGCCTGGCCCTTCCCTGCCGTACGGTCCCACTGTGGCCGCCCCCTGGCTGTGCCCGGCCTGGATTCGGGGAGCTACTGACGCGGGTAAATCCACCCCCCCGGTCAGTCGGGCGTTGCAGGATCCTGCAAGACCCTGCAGGATCCTGCGCCCAAGCCCAGGTCAGTGCGCCCCTGGCGCTGCGGGATCCTGCAAGAGCAGGCGCGCTGACTGACCCCCTTTCGCGTTGACCCCCACCTCTCGAGCCCCGATGGAGAAGAATCGTGTGGGGCCGGGGTCGCGCCGACCTGCTGAGCTCGCGCGGGGGGGGGCTCCAGGGCGTGGGCCGCCTGCAGACGGCCTGCGAGGGCAGTGTTGGGCCGCGCTGAGTCTCGCACCGCGCTCCTCGCACGGTGGCCGACGGGGTGCCAGGGCCCCTGGCCTCGGAGAGGCGGGAGGGTCTGTGCGTGCGGCGTCGCTATCTGAGTAGTGGGAGAGCTGCTCTCGGAGAGCTGCTTGCCGCTGCATGCGGCCGAGCCGCTTCCTCGATCCTCCCGGCCTGTTGTCGCAACAGGCACCCCCGCCGCTCTCGACGGTCCCGTGCCCTCTCTCCTGGCGCCGTGAGGCCTCTGCAGGGCGAGTAGCAGGAGGTGCTTGACGCCGCTTTCCAATCCCCCTTGCGCCCTGGCTTGTCCAAAGTTCTCTGCACACGCATCGAACCTGTGGATACCGCCGTGCTCGATGCAGGGCATCGCAGTATGGTTCATGTTCGCCTCAGCGCCGTTGAATAACACCCTTTGGACAAAATCACAGCGGCCGCGCTCATGCCACCGTCCCACCACGCCTCTCTCCTGTCTCCTCCCTAGTCCCTTCGTCCTCCTCCTCCTCCTCCCTCTTCCCCCTCCCTCCCCCGCCTCCCCCCCCGCTTCCTCCTCCTCCTCCTATCCCCTCCTCCTCCTCCTCCTCCTCCTCCTCCTCCTCCTTCTGCTCCTCCTCCTCCGTCTCCTCCTCCTCATCCTCCTCCTACTCCTCCTCCTATCCCCTCCTCCTCCTCTACCTCTTCCTCTTACATATCTTTTCCTCATAAGCAACTCTTCCATGGCGCACCCCGAGGCCGGTCGAACGGGCGCGGCGGGCGCTCCGCCTGAGACTTCCCCACCGTTTGTGACCCTGAAGCTCAAGCATTGGCAGCTGCTCCACGAATGGAAGGCGGGTGGCTTTCAACATGTGGCTCTCGCCTTGGCGCCGCGCGCAGTCGTCTTTCAAAATTTGCACATGGCTTCGAGGGCTGAAGGCGAACGGTTTTCAAGATGAGGCTCTCGCCTTAGCGCCATGTGCACTCGCGCTTCATAGCTGAAAGAGTGTCACGCATTGAGGACGGGAGGTTTTCAAATTGTAGCTCTCGCCTGTGCGCCGCGCACATTCGTTTTCAAATTTGCACATGGTTTGAGGACTGAGGGCGAGCGGTTTTCAAGATGAGGCTCTCGCCCACGCGCCGCGTACACGCGGTGTTGAAGTCCAGCGAATGGTGGCCTGGCACGATTCAGGATGGTCAAAACGCAACAGTCAGGTTGAGCCGTGACGCCGGAGTCCCGAGAAACTTGAAGTTCTTCAAACGGTTGTCTCCCAACGCGGCAGTTCCCTCAGAGGAGATGAACCCTTGGGTTTACACTGGTCCTCCTCCTCCTCCTCCTCGTTCCTCCCCCGCCTACCTCAAGCCCGTGGCGACAACACGCCTCAACTGATTCAATCGCCGCGCAAATCTGCAAGCCGGAATACAACATTACTTCTTCCAGGCCCCCCTCTGCCACGGACAAAAATTAGGAAAAAACCGTCTCTGACGTAAAGGTGTGGTGCAGACATCTGACGTACTGACGTCCTGATTTGTTCAACACTGGGTCAGTGGGAGCCCCGGCCCGTTCCCCAGGGCCCTTTTTAAAAATCTCAAGCCGACGTTTGACGGTCCACGGGCCCGGAGCCGGAGCTTATCCAAAACCTCGGCTCGTGCTGTTGTGCAGGGCGCGGGCACATCAGGTTACGTAGTTTCCCCGACCCATAGACCAGGAGCGGCACACACACAGTTTCATTTGTTGGCGTCGCTGCCACGCACGCAGCGGCGCGGCGCAGTAAAGGTCGAGCGGGAGCGAGACGCGCGCGCACGCACTACACACTACACACACGCACGCACGCACGCACACGCACAGTTTTGGCGTCGGCGGCTGGACAGAGGGCGACTGCGCCAGCGGAAGGGCAACAAGGGACACGCTGTCTGCAAATTAAGGCCGCGATGCACGGGAGGAGGAGGAGGAGGAGGAGGAGGAGGAGGAGGAGGAGGAGGAGGAGGAGGAGGAGGAGGAGGAGGAGGAGCCCCGGCGCGACAGGAAGGGAGGAAGCCGCACACAGACACACGCACGCACGCACGCACACACACACGCACGCACGCACGCACGCACGCACGCACGCACACACACGCACGCACGCACGCACGCACGCACGCACGCCGAGGGAGCGTCCGGGGCGAGCCCCTGGCCGCTGCCGCGGGCACCTGGGGCGGCCGGGCGCCTCGGCCCCGAGCTCCGCTCGTCGTGGCTCGAGACGGCGAGACGTCACGGCGGGCATCGGGCCCCACTTGCTGAGCAGGCACCCATCGTCCCGGCAGTTAATCTTAGAGCCCAAACATGTTCTGAAAGCGCAAAGAATATTCTTATGGTGTATGTGTATATATAGATATAGATATACATATATATATATATATATATATATATATATCTATATCGTATATACCATGAGCCCGATGCGCCAAGGCACGACAGTCTCAGCCAGAGATGCTCTAACAACAGTTCGTGCAGACCACCAAAGGTTCTCAGAACATTCTTCGGTGGGCCTGTCTCTCGACCTGCGCCAAGCCAGTGGTCGACAAGAGCTTCCAGATTCGGCCAGCCTTCTCAAAATGGCGGCGACGGCGACGACAATGGGGAAGCCAAAAGGCACCGATGCCGCTACTCCCCGGGCCTCTCCCGGGGTGCGTTCTGACCAGGATTCCGAGGCGAATCCAGCGGTGGCGACGAAGGTCTCCCAGGAGGCCGAAAAAGGGGAAAACGGGCGAGGGGTAGAGGTATGGGTACCTTTTCCTCCTCTGAGACCAGGACGACTGCCACGCACCGCGCCTGTGGCTGCACGGGGGCCCACGAGGCCGGCGGTCGCTCAAGCGCGAAGGCCACGGGCTCGGGCGCCTGGCCAAGAGGGGTGCCGCGCAGCCAGGCCCGCGCCGCCGCCGCCGCCTTTTTTCAGAGTCGTCGCCTGCGTCGCCGCTGTCGTCGACGTTGTTGTCGTCAAGGACCAGAGGGAGAGAGCAGGGGGTGAGGGGAGGAGGAGGAGGGCACGAAGCTCGGCGGGCCGGTTGGGCTTCAACCACGCCTAAGCCTGCATGCGATGGAGCGCGGCCAACCTCACGGAGGCCCGCTGGTCGACGCCCACGGCCAGCCCCACGTCCATCCTGTACTTCTGGATGTGGTAGCACTGGCACATGAGGCCGATGGTGAAGATGCAGTCCACGTGGGACCGCTTCGTGTGGTACAGCTCGTCGCCGAGCCCGAGGAGCTCCAGGCCACTGCCGATGGCGTCGGCGCCCCCATCGCCCGCGGCCATCGCCCGCAGGGTCGGGCAGAGAACGTAGTGCTCCAGCGCGTCCTCACCGTCGCAGCCGAAGATGCACTGGCGAGCGTCGATGACGGCGCTCATGCGACGCGAGGTGGTCCAGCCATTGACCGCCGTGCGCAGCCACGACCACATCCAAGCTGGGCGGACCTCCGTCAGCTTGCAGCGCAGCGGAGGCCATCTCTCACGCAGGACGGGCAGCGGGCAGTCGATCCCCCACCTGCGGAGCCGGCGGTGGATGATGGCGACGAGGTCCTCAGGGTACAGCATGCCACGGAGCGCTGCAGCAGCCACGGCTTGGCGCTTGGGCTTCCTGGCAGGGGTGGCAGCGGCCGCGTTCTTCGTCTCCAGGAGCATCGCCGTCTTCGCCTTCAAGATGCACCTGCGCGGGATCGGGATCGAGAGCGAGTCCAGCGTCGGCCTGGGGATGTCGAGCATTTCGAGGGAGTCCGAGACCATGGCGTAGTTCTGCACGATCGCCCTTCTCGTACGCCACCACGGTGGTGACCAATTGCCCTTGATCACATCGGTCAGTGGTACGTGTTCCACTGCAGCTTCATGTAGGTGGCGGAGGTGCACATCCCAGCCCCTCACCGTGTTCTCCGCAGAACGCATCATCGCGGCGATCGTGTACGGGAAGAGGCCAATCGGCGCCGGCGAGCCACACCACGCGCTCATCGAGAGGATGTCCGCCTTGCGCATGGAGGACGGTGGCAGTCGCAGCAGGCGGTGCAGGGAGGTGAACTCGACCTTCCAGATGGCGGGCACGATGAAGTAGAACTGAGCCAGGTACGAGAGGCACGGCAGCGCGTTGATGTTGTATGCACGGGCAGCAAGGCTGGTGGCCATGCCCGTGCGCGCCAGCTCCCAGCAACGGGGCCACCACTTCCCCGCCGCGGCCTTCCAGATGCCAAAGTCCGTGACGCCAGGGCCCAGGTAGGTCCCGAGGTACTTGGCCGAAGAGTCGATGCGGAAGCCACTCCAGCGTGGGACCGCCCCCGCAAGGAATGACTTGACGTTTTGCAGTGTGTTGTCCGTGATCTCCTCCCACAGCGGGACCAGCACGCACTTGTGGAGTGCCAGCTGCGGATTGAAGGCGAACTCGATGGAGACGAAGGTGCGATCGATGCTCGGGAGGGCGACTGCGTTCTTGATCAGCATCCCGAGGTCGTCCGCGCAGGCTGTGAGGGATCCGTGCTCGGCGATCGCTGCTAGCAGGGCGCGGATGGGAGCATCCATGGCCAGACACCAGACCGTGCCAGAGAGCGGGCATCCTTGCATGATGCCGCACAAGAGCGCAAACAGTGGCTCCAGCTCCGCGCTGGTGCCCTCGGCTCGGAAGGAGCTGAAGGCGAGGCAGTTGCTGTAGAGCGCCATGATCACGTTGCGAAAGCCCAGCGGAACTCCGTAGCGCGGGAGGACCTTCTCGATGACTTCCCTGAAGAGCGATGGGAAGGCCTGGCGGAAGTCGAACGACAGGAACATGGGGCGGCGGGCCGCAGCATCAGGGAGAAGTCCTTCCCTGCGGCATTCTGCGTCCAGGAAAGGGATGTGGTCGACGAAACGCCGCCCCGCAGTGAAGCCCTTCTGCTCGGGTGAGGTAGATGATGTGGCAATAGGCTGCAGTCCTCGATCCGCGCATGCCGCAATCAGCTTGGCGTCGCAGTTCTTGAGGGAGAGAGTGCGCACGGTGGATGCCGTGCGAGTGCATGAGTCAGGGACGTCGTCCTCCTCCGTGCCCTTGGGGACGCAGATGAAGATCGACCAGTTGAGGTCGAGCGGGGCGACTCCGTCGTTGAAGATGGTCTCCATGAGTCCGTGGAGATGCTGCAGCGCACCAGGACTGCGTCGCCATGCGGCGTACGTGAGTTGGTCAGGTCCCGCAGCGCTTGGAGGTGCTCTGCTGACCGCTCGTTCGAGGTTGTGGAGGGCAGGTTGGGGTAGTTCCACCACCGGGTACCGCGGTGCATGCTTGTCCAAGAATGAGCCCATGGTCTTGAGCTGCTCATCGTTCGGCATCTTCGCGAAGATCTCTCCCCAGTAGTTCGCCACAATCGTCTTCATGCCCGCGGGGTCGGAGACCACATGCTGGGCCACCTGCAAGTCCTTGGCGGTACACGGTGAAGAGTCCACGCGCAGGCCAGAGAGGATCATGCGCCGCCGCCAGGGGACCCACAGCTGAGCGTGTCTGGCGGCCTTACGTTCAACTCTCCGCCAGGCTGCGCTGTCGCGCACGTTGGCTGTCCGAGCTGCGGCCTCCGCCACTTGTCTTCTCATAGAGTGCACCCGCTCAGCAATTGCGTCGAAGTTGGTAGCAAAGCTGTTGGTGTCCACAATGTGCACGGTGCCGTCGGTGACTTTGAGGTGGGTCGCCAGCGCGGGGCAGGAGTCAAGAAGCCTGCCCGCCAGGACGGCGTCCTGTCGCCAGACGGCTCTCGCCGCCGATTTGAAGCCCATGCACGAGGTCTCGGCCGTGGAGTCCTTGACGCGGAGGGAGAAGTTGGTTCTCAGCTGTTCATCCCGCACACGTCGAGCGGCTAGCTTCATGCACTGCTTCGCTGCTCTCCAGCGACCTTCCGCCGTTTCCCCCTCTAGGGAACAGTGCGCCAGCATGAGCGAGTAAGCCTCGGGGTACTTCTTGTGGTTGAAGAGGTGCGTCGGAATCGGCTGCTCGTCTCGCGGGACGTGTCGAGCAGCAGTGATCTGCAAGACGAGGGGCGCGTGGTCGCTGATGCCAGCCTCGGAGAGCTCCATCGCATCCCTCGCGGTGGTCAGGATCGTTGAGACCGACAGCATGGCATGCGCGTCAATCCCCACGAAGATGCGGTCGATCGTGGACAGCTGCTTGCAGGACTTGTCGTAGTGAGTCGGCCATTGTGATTCAATCTCCAGAGCAGCAGCAAAGAGGCGCCGCCACGCAGGTTGACGAAGTTGGCATCGATTGTCAGGTCGTAAGCGCCACGCCGTAGCGTCAGAGGGCGCGCGTTGGCTGACTGGCGGGCGAGAGGCAATATTGAAGTCCCCGACGGCCAGAAAGACACGGTGCAGGGAGTCGCGGCGCGCCCAAGACAAGCCACTGGACCAGGTGCGCTGAATGGCGGAAAACTCGTGCGGCTTGAGGTCGTAGTTGTGAATGTTGAAGATCTGCATGCTGTACTTGCCCGTGCTGTCGGTGATCGTGAGGAGCGCCGCTCGTCCAGCGGCCACAGAGACGAAGCTGTAAGACGGTAGGGCTGGAGTGGCGTTCCGTGAACTTGACCGGGTGTCGATTGGCTTCGTCGTGGGCGTCGGAGGGGGACTTCGTGAACTTGACCGATTGGTGGAGCGACTTGTAGCCGGTGAAGACGAGGAGGTACGTGAACTTGACAAGGGATCTTGAGTCGGCAAGGATGCTGCAGGGGGCGCGGCGCGCGCATGGGAACCTTCCCGCGGCGCGGCACCCCTGCATCCCAGAGATTCGGCTCTGGGTCCTTCCGCCCTTGGACATTCATCGATGATGCGAGGGACGAGAAAGGCAACACCACCCACGGCAGCGGTGGGGCCAGGGGAGAGGAAGCTCATGTACTTCTGCGGCTGCGCCTGGAGGAAGATCCTGAGCGCGTCCTCGGAGCCGTGGACCTCTTGCACCGCGATGATGGCATTGACCTTCATGTACGATGCGAGCAGCGCCTGCTTGCGTCTGCGCAGCCTGGCATCCGAATGGAGTAGGCCACGAGCATTCCACACGACCATGTGAAGGCCGCGAAAGCCATGTCGTGCTCCAGGAGGGCGCCAGGGCGCCCACAGCGGCGCGCTAAATCCACTCGGTATTGTCCTCCACGGAGAAGGCCTTCTTGAGCTGCGCGTTGATGGACTCCCTGTCGATGTGCAGCCTGGCCACCATGTCTGGGTTCCACCTGATGATCGTGTCGATGTGTCGGGATTCGCCCATCTCGAGCTTGGCAACTTTGACGCCCTGGGAGGTGACGATGCCCCGTGCTCGCTGCGCACTGAAAGAGATGCCAGGATAAGCTTCTGCGAGCAAAGTCGATAGCCTCCTCGACTGGATCTCAATTCGCACTTGCTGGGGCGACTTGTCGGGCGAGATGTACAGCGGGACGGTGCCTCCTCCGACGCTCTGCGCGCAGAAAGCACGCCACCCGTTCCTGCCAGCGGGGTCTCGAAGCTGCCGAGCGAGGGCTTGGGCACGGGGTAGAGCGACGCCGTCGCCACCCTGCACAAGGACGTTGAAGCGTTTGGATGGAACAGCGGGGTCGAGGCGGACCATGTCATTGGTGAGGCCAGCAGCGCGAATCCACTCTTCGAGGCCTTGCAGCGCCTGCGCGGGACCAACCAGCTGCGGAGCGCCGATCGAGAAGACCCTCGGGTTGGGCTGGCGGCCCCACGCCTCCAGCTCTTGGAAGTCCATGAGGGGGAGCTCCTTCTCCGCGAGGGCCAGCACATTGTTGATGTCACCGATCTGTTTGCGCATGGCAGCCTGCTCGGCCTCCAGCGCGTCGGCTCGCTGACCGATGGAGGCGATGTCGCGTGTCTGCACGGCGAGGGATCTGTTGACGGCCTCCTGCTGGGTCTGGAACATGCGCACCAGCTGAGTCTGGCAGGACGTGACTTGCGCCATGGAGGTGGCAGCGATAGCATCAGTGGCTTGACGAATGCAGCTCTGGAACATGGCCTGCATGTCCGTGCCGCCCGCGTCCACAGGGGTGGCCATCCCGCCGATGGGAGTGCCAGCCGCGGGGGCAGCAGCGTGTCCGTCGGCAGGAGCAGCGCGTTCATGCCATGGATCTCCACCAGGATGTTGCCACGGATCAGCTTGAGCATGATGGGGTCCCACTGGGGGCTTGCCCGTGGTAGTCTGCTCCACCTGCATGCCCATCCGCTCCTGCGTGGGGAAGGTGGGCGCGGCCTCGAAGGCGGCGGCGAGCTCCTCTTGGGCAGCACGGTCGAGACCAGCAGGGGCATGTCGTGCTCGATCACTGGCAGGGGAGCCCGAGGCGTCGGCTTCGCCGTCAGAGCGAGGGTGGCCCCGCCGAGCGCGCCTCCGCGCCGGGGCGCGCTCGTTGGTGCTGCGGGAGGCGGAACGTATGTCCTCGGGCGGGGGCTCCTTTCCTTTGTCAGCCCGCCTGCGGCCGTCAGCAGCACCAGGACCACGATGGCCGCCACCAGCGCGCCCAGCCCTGCGGCGCTCCTCCTCGGCCGCCATGAATTGCGATGGAGAGCCCTCGCGGGCACAAACCTGTGGGTCCAGGAGGACCAGTCTTTGGCGGCAGCACGCCCTGGGGGTGGCTGCAAAGGAATCTCGACTCCTGGCCGCGGCACAGCGGTATCCATTTGGAAGCCGCCGCGCGCCATGGCCTTGAGCCAAAATGGCTACGGAGGGAGGAGGAGGAGGAGGAGGAGGAGGAGGAGGAGGAGGAGCAGGAGGAGGAGGAGGAGCAGGAGGAGGAGGATGAGCAGGAGGAGGAGGAGGAAGAGGAGGAGGAGGAGAAGCAGGAGGAGGAGGAGAAAGGAGGAGAGGAGGAGCAGGAGGAGCAGGAGGAGGAGGGAGGAGGAGGGAGGAGGAGGAGGAGGAGGGAGGAGGAGAAGAGGAGGAGGAGGAGAGGAGGGAGGAGGAGGAGGGGAAGGAGGAGGAGGAGGAGAGGGGGGAGAGGCGGAGGAGGGGGAGGAGGAGGAGGAGCAGGAGGAGGGGGAGGAGGAAGAAGAGGAGGAGGGGGGGGACAGAGGCGGAGGAGGAGGAGGAGGAGGAGGAGGAGGAGGAGGAGGAGAGAGAAGGAGGAGACGGAGGAGCAGGAGGAGGACGAGGAGGAGAACCAATGTAAACCAAGACGCATCAACCGTGTTGCACGAAGCCCTCCCTCCAAATTCATTGCTCATTAATCCTGAAAACATGCAATGCGGGAAGTGCCGAATTGAATGACAACCGTTTGAAAACCCTCAATCGTGCCAAAACGAACTCATTGGGCACGTTACCGCTGCGTCCTGACAATCCTACATCGGACTGCAACATCGCGAATCAACGTGATTGCTGCGCCCTCACAGTCCTCAGTGGCGCCAGAACGCACTTCTTGGGATTTCAGCTCTGCGAATCCTTGAAACTGCTTCTAAATATTTATGCGAGTGTTCGCGGCGCTGAAGCGATAGCCACATCTGGAAAAAGAGCCAACATATACCCTTGATGCTGTGGCGAACTTTTTGCCATGAATGTTCGCAGCGCTAGGGCGGGAGCCACAGTTTGAAAACCACCCGCCCTTACACTTGAATATGCTACCAATGTTTGAACATTATATGCGCGTCGCACGCGCGAGAGTCACATTTTTTGAGAGCCACCTAAATCACTGAAGCTGCTGCAAATGTTCATGCGAATGTGGGCGACGTTGAAGCGAGATCCGCATGTAGAAACCGACCCGCCCTCAACCCAGGGAGATCCATTTCAACCCCCATGCCCTATATGTTGCCCTCCCGTCGGACGTCGCACGCGCGGGCGCCCTCGCACGTGCAGCAAGAGGGGGCTGCCACGCAAGAGTGCTATGACGATGCTATGCCATGCGCGTGGGCGGCACAGTGCCATGGCAAGATGCTATGCCATGCTGTGCCATGTCACGATGCTATGCCATGCGCGTCAAGCACGGTCTTCTCAAGCTCGCCCGCTGGCATTCGCGGCGCAGGAATGCGGGCGCGAGGGGCGCTGACTCCAGCAGGTGCGCAGCGCGCGCGCTGGCGACCCCAGCGAAGCCAAGTCGGCCAAGCGGCCTGCTCGGCCGAACAGCGCGCCCGCCGTCGATCGACGAACCCCGCCCGACAGGCCAAAGAGCGAAGCGCGAACTGGTGCGTTTATGTGGCGGCCATGGCTGGCCCACTTAATTGGCGCATCATCCGTGGCCGCCGAGGCCGAGGCCGCTGGATTTCAGGTTCCGCCACCGCGGTCGCGCGCAGCAGCCTCATAGAGCAAGCTGCTTTCGAAGGTCGACCAGCCAACCCACTGAACACACGAGTGGCGACGACGTGCATACGAAGGTAACTACTTATAGTACTCGCCTTGCACGCTGGTATATACAGTCCAAGCCAGCGTCGGGCCTCGTCCTTCCACGGATGTGCCCTCCCTCTCCTCCTCGTTCTCCCCCTCTTCCTCCTCCTCTTCTCCGTCGGCCCCCTGGTCGTTATCCTCCGTATCTGCGTCATGTTGTTCATCTCCCTCCTCTTTCCCCTCTTCCTCCTCCCCCCCCAGCGAGGCGCGCGTCTGCGACTTGCAACCGCGTTTGCCATGGCTCGCCAGGGGACTGGCGGACACGCGAAGCATCATACGGGATGCGAGGCAAGAAGACGAACAGATTTCTCAAGAGGGGGCTGATCCCCGCCAGCCACTGTATCAAAGCGATGCCCTGGCTCCCAACAAGCCATCGCGAACCCCAGCGCAGCCGACCCTGCCCCTCGGCGAGGTCGGCTGCATCTCGCTCAATCGTCGGGCACGCCCCGGCGAGCACCGAACAGAAAAAGAAACCTGGCTGCGGCCCCATCTTGGGGCCGGTCTTGCCCTCTCGGGGTCATCTCGGGAGCAGCCCCCCACCCCGTCCTGGCCTCCTCTTGGAGCTCCAAAAGGGCGCCCAAAATGCCCCAAGAGGGTGTCAAAAACGCCCCGACGGGTGCCCAAAATAACCCCCCGACATTGGCACCCAAAAGAGCCTTCTGCGTGCTAATGTTGGGGGGTCATCTTGGTGTCCTCGCGGGGCCCTCTTGGGGCCCTCCTGGCTCTCTTTTGGAGCCTCTCGGGGGGCCCTCCAACCCCGCCCTGGCCCCCTCTTGGCGCTATCTAGTTCCACTTCCATATCCCCCCTCTCCTTCCCCCTCCGCCTCCCCCCCTCTTCCCCGGGCGCTCCTGCCAGCGAGTCCTGGGAGAAGGGATCGAAGCCAGACGCGCGCGCCCGCCCCATGTCCCCGCCCCCTCTCGTCCTCGCCGCTTCTTTGCCTTGCCGACCTCGCCCTTCGCCTCCTCCTCCTCCTCCTCCTCCTCCTCCTCCTCCTCTCCTCCTCCTCCTCCTCCTCCTCCTCCTCCTCCTCCTCCTCCTCCTCCTCCTCCTCCTCCTCCTCCTCCTTCTCCTCCTCCTCCTCCTCCTTCGGGGCGCGCTCAATCTGCGTCCTCTTCTGGGCCAGGCGGGGCCCCGGAGAAGAGACCATGGATGGGGCAACTCTCTGCGGCCTCGCCGCGCACCGAGTGGCACTTGTTGGCCCACGGGCCCTGCAGCACGAGCACAGCGCTCCACCCGTGGCCGTGGAGGTGCCAGCTCTTCGAGAAGCGCCTGGACGGCGGGAAGTGGGAACGCCGCGAGCCGTTCGCGCTCCCACGCCATATGAACCCCCCCGGTGGGCACCAGGGGCTTCAAGTCCTCCTGAACAAGGTCGCCCTCGGGGAACTTCCTCTTCTCGGGGCCCCTGCCTTTGCCCTTGCCCTTGTGGCCCCCACCGCGGCCTGCGCCGCCCATGGCTGGCGGCGCTGACCCCCGCGGCGCCTTGGCCTTCGTGCGAAAGCTCTCCCTGTACTACATCCTCTCGGGCTTCTGCAGCCAAGCATTATTCTTCACTTGGTCGAATACTTCGCCGTCGCCCTTGCCGAAATACTCCCAGCTGCCTCCCACATCCAAGAACGCGTTGATCGCGGGCGCCTCTTTCGAGAGCAGCGCCGGCAACCGCGAGCCACGTGCGCTGATCATCTCCTGTGGCGTTGGATCCAGGACCTCCTGGACCAGCGACTCCAACAAAGACAGCACGTGCAAGGCAAAGGAAGCTCCAAGCCAAGATGAGAAGCTAATCTCGAACACCAGGTCTTATTCATTTACCGAAACAAAACCGCGCTGCAACTACCAGAAGATCTTCACGGTCACCAGTAGCAAACGGCCGAATGCCAGCCGACTTGAAGTGCGCCTTGCAATTTGCAAGCCCACCAAAGCTCATGATGTGCGAGCGCGGGCATGTCCAAGTTATCTTCTGAGCCTGCCATCCGCTGAGATTAGAACAAAAAAGCGGTGATACGAATCGCACGGTTCCTTTACCTGGCCTAGCTTGAAATACGCGGTGCCCCCGCCTGGAGACTTCGCTGTCGCCGCGCCCACGGGCCACATTATCGAAGCTCCATCAGGTAAAGATCCCATGGCCAACATCCACCCATGATCAGCACCCGGACGCGCACCCTCTTCCTGACCACGATGTCGTTCAAGAGGTGGGCGACCTCCCCGAGCCATGCGGACTGCAGCTGGTCCTCAGTGCCCGTGCGAACTGCCTCGCTCACGATTGACAAGTCGCCGAAAGGCGCGCCCAGCCGCTCGGCGCCAGGCGAATGCCAGAAGGGCGACGGCTTGAAAGACGAAGCTTTCAGGAAGTCATTCGGCAAGTCTTTCATATTGATGGTGTTATCGGACATGGCGCGGCAAACTCCTCGGGGGACGTCGGCGCTCTGCAAACCCCCTGCGACGCGGAAGTTGTGTTTCTCATCCAGCGCGCTGGCGATCGCCAACTTGTTGTGCCACGACGTCAGGCTTGCCGTCCTGTTCTGGTGAGTGCTGCGGGCCTTCAGCGCATTGAAGCTGTCCTCGCAAGCCTGGGGCACAAGGGTCCGACTGTTCGCCTGTTTGAAGAAATCCCGGACCCCGTCGGTCAACTCGAAGTCGCTCTCCTTGACGACTTGGTACACTTGCTGGGCGGAGACGTCGTGGAAGGAGCTGCGTCCGACCACCTCCTTGATGCCTTGCACCGTGCCCGCCAAGGTCTGCAACCGCTCGAAGATCTCGACGTCCTTGCGCAACGAGGCCAAGTCTTCCTTCGCGACGGCGTCATCTCGAGCGAACCTGGCGCACCTGGAGCTCCAACCGACCAGCATCCAAGTCGTGCGCTTGACCCTGTGGAAGTTGATGCTGATGGCCAAATGGGCGAGCATGGCCGCGATGTCATCCTCTTCTGCACGCACCTGGTCACTCGAGATGTTCGCGATGCCCGCCTCCGTGGCGATGGTGAACCCGCAGGCGGACATGGAGCCGATTGTTTCGAGAACGTAGAAGGTCTCCATGCGCGCACCCGGGAACTTCGATTCCAGCTGCCTCGTGACGAAGGAGATGGCAGCGCCGACTGCTCGAAGCTCTTCGTTCGACTTCCCCATCCACTGCTCCTGGCGTGGACCATCCAGGCATCCTTCGCCTTGCAATCTGAACTGAGCATCTCCATCAAGCCAGCCACCATCTGATTGCAGCCCTGCTTGCGCAGCTTCTTCTCGGCCGACGTGCCCTTCTTGGCGGCTGCGTCTGCGTTGGGGTCGTCGAGGTCGGCGTCGTTCTCGCGCGACATCTTAGTGAAGGCCCTGCCGTGCAACGTGTCCAGTCCTTGGTGCGTGGCCATGCAGAAGAACTTGCGCGGCTCGAGCTGCGGCAACTCTGACCTCAGCTTGCGGATAATGTCCCCGTAGCGCCCTATCATGACCTTAGTCCCCCCCGATAGTGAAAACGTTGGAGGTCTTCAAATGCCCCCAGAATGCGATGGGCGGGTCGCGTGCACGAAAGGTCTTGGCCCCCGCGGGCTCGCGCGCGAGGGCGTGCTCCATGTCCGCAAAGAACGGCAGCTCGCGAGGGTGCTCGTACTTGTCGAAGAGTTCTTCAGCACATCCTAAGACTTGCTTCCAGCGCATGTTCTCAAGCCACGGGGGCACTGGCATATTGAGTCGCAAGGCTACAACTCCCATGCGATGGTATTCGCTTGCCTCTTCGAAGCCGTCCACGATGTCGCTGCGTGCTCCGTGCGTCTGGCCCCGATGCATATCTACGTTGAGTTTAAGGACCATGGAAGCAAACCCAGCAACGCAGACCTCATCCGACCCTTAATCGGCGCATATCGACGATCGCGGCCAATTGATTGCTGTGTCCCTCTTCTCAGGTTCAGCGGGCTGCGCGAATGACAAGCGCCATTGGCGGGGAAAAGGCTTCAACGTGTTATCGAGGTGGCCAACCCACTGTAGACTGGACTTCCGATGCCTCTTCGGAGGCCTCCAACCCGCCTGTGCCTTGACACCGCGCTTTCTCTTGAGGAGCGCGCGCTGCCTCAGCGAGATGTTGTTCTCGGCGGCCTGGAACTCCCCGTCGCCGCCTGCCTCGGCGATCGCCAAGTCGCCGACGTAGTCTGCAACGTCCTCCAGGCACCGAGGCGGCAATCCCAAGAGCACCTCGAGCTTCCCACCGGTTCCCCGGCCTCCAGAGGCCAGGGCCGCCCGACCGCGGGAGGGCGCCATGTGGGAGCATTTTCCCACCGCTCGACACATTGCGCTGTTTTGCTCGGGAAAGTATCCCCATATGGCGCCCCCCCCCCCCCCCCCCCGCATCCCCGCATGGGGCCCTCCCGCGGTCTGCGGGGGCCGTCGGTCTCAATAGGTCTGCGGCCGAGGGGGGCTCGATCCTGGACAGGCGCCCAGAAGGCCCTGTTGGCTGGCAAGGCGAACGCACCCGTCTGCAGGACGAGCGTCTCCACCTTGGTTTGGTCCATTGCACCTGACAGGAACTGGCGGCCCGTGGAGGTCACGGCGTCCTTCGCGGCCATGGTGTGGAGGTAGTTCTCGCGGCCTGGCTCAGCGTTCTCTTCCAAGAGTTGAATGACGAGACCAGGCTCGCGACCCCCAGGCAAGATGCACGAGCCAAATCAAGTGGGCGCGCGTCGACGGCGTGGCCCGTGCGCACCGACATCTGCATGAATAAACTCTTGGTTGCAATGACCTTTGCTGGATTTGCGAACAACCCCAACAGCACGTCAGTGAACTTCACAATGAGGGGTCACCGATCACATCGGACTTGATTGCATTCAGCAAGATTGAAGCTTCCCGAGCAGTCGTCGCAAGCTTCGCTGGGCCGCCGAAGTCGGCAGCACCATCAGGCTGCACGACAATTAAGAAGGGCTTCTGACCATCCAGCGCGCCGAACGCGCGATGAAGATGAACTTGTAACCGCTGGGGCGAGACAACGCGTGCGAAACAAGCCTGACTAGAAAGTTTGTCACCGTCTCCTTCTCGCCGGCATCCTTCAACCCCCCCGATTGCTGGCTGGCTCTGCCCGCGCGGCCCATCCGCGCGATCAAACGCACAGCGAACACAGACTTGAACGTGAAAGCCCTGGCGCTGTCGTCGCGGGGCTGGTCATCATCTTCTGCTTCGCTCCGAATCTTTCCGCTGAGAAACCCAGTCAGACCAAGTGATGAAATACTTGCCGTCCAACCGCTCCAGTGCTTATTGATGCATGTATGTTTCTTATTCTGGGCCGTCTGGTCATCTCTGCCACGCTTGGAACCGAATGCGTCGCATAAGCATGGCACGCTCAAAAATACGTAGCAACACCCCCGAGGCGACAGAAACTTAGAGACTACAAACTCATCATGCACTTGACGTTGCCGCGCTTGGCCCTCAAGTTCCACGTGGGAAATGAGCCCCTCACATTTTTCAGCGATAGAACAACTGAATCCTTTCTTGTGCCAGAAAAAAACGAAAATCGACCTGGATGCACTGGGCCGCACGTCGAACGTGAAGACCTCAGAAAGATCAATGCGCGCGGGACGATCAGCA